ATATATACTAGCCAACCATTCCTATGCCTATATAAAGTTTTACTCAAAATTGCATGCAAGAATCTATCGAGCGCAAATAGCACTTATCTTTAGTGCAATATTCAAAGTGAACAACTAAAATAGATCAAAAATTGTATAAAAAAATATTAATTAATGATAAAATAGTCAATTAAATAATTAATTACATTAAATTTATGTTCTTTAACTGTTCGGTTCCTTATCCCTGATTTATATTGTGGGTAGGGTAAGGTTAGCTTGTTGTGGTCCTTCCTTAGTCCTCACCGTCACACGCCGACCCGTGCAATTATCAAGTAGGATTTGATTAATTTATTTGACAATTTGATTCCCAATTAATGGTTGTTAAAAACGGTTTAGTGGCGAAAGGATGACATTCGTAGGGGCACCCCGAACGGTAGTTCAGAGGCCAGAGAAAGCCAATTATTAGAAAATAGTAAACAAAATTTTCCTGATTTTTGGGTGCCGGACGTTGCTCATGGATGTGGGGTCATTGAACTTACTGTCCTACCATTCTTTGGCTCCACACAACTTAAAAAGCTTGCAATTATTAGGTGGTTTAAAGCCAATTGTCGTCCCTCTACTTTCATATTTTATTCGTTCTTGTCCCTCTACTAAGGATATGTTCGTTGTCATCCCTTTACTCTACCAAAGAGCCAAACATCGTCCCTCTACTTCTCTTTTATTATTCGTTGTCGTCCCTTCCCTAACGTCGTTCATGTTGCCGTCACTGTTGACCGTTAAGTCCTAAACGATCTGCAATTAAACTCATTTGTTCTATTTTTTTTTCCACATATGCTGCCACATGTGATGCCATTTGTTATGCAATCTTTTTTTTTTTTTTTGTTAAGTATTGCTCTGTATAAGCATTCACTAAAATGAGTAGCCCTGTTTTTTTGTTAAGTTATGCCTATATATGCTCACAACACAAACATATTTTGCAAGTAAACCACTTCCAGAAAAGTTATACTTCATTCATAAGCTAATCAATTATAACAAGAGTCAATATATTTACAACAAGTAGTCATATAATTACAAAAGTAGTCCTGCACCACATTATATTACACTTGCTCATTGCCTATTACAAAAGCAGACTATGACCAATTATCCTGCAAATTTAATTGTCAAAAAAGCAATTATGAAGATACAACAAATTAAACACTTTTTCAACTTCAAATAACTTAAAGCAACTGTCTCAACCCCACTAACTTTGTTTTCCATTTCACAGCTCAAATTCTTCAAACCATCAATCTCTCTATGTAGGTTCAAGTTCTCTTTTTTCAATTGTAAAATCTCATTCAGTAGTGTTTGCTTTTTATCCTAGCGATATGTTATCTAAAACTTAAGTCAATGATCAAAGTTATCATCAAACCAAATGAAAAAATTGCAATTAGATTTCAATTCATATGGATCATTACACAATAGTCCACAGGTATGGCCAACTTCCTCACCATTCTTCAACAAGAATAAAAAACAATAAAAACAATAATAATGATTTGGGAAATTTTAAGCTGGATTCGATTTAGGATAATGATTTGAAAGAAATTTTAATTCATGGCTCAAGAATAAAGCCGAGGGTTGCATCTTTCGAAGTCATTGTAAAGTTTCGAGACCTATCAACTTAATTTATGTCTCTTTTCCTGGGCCACAGCAAAGCTTTAAACATATG